CTCATCAGTATAACCTCATCACAGTGACAGAATTTACAACACATGAGGAGATCACATATAATCTCATCATAGTGGTAGAGTTTACAACACATAAGGACATCACATCAGATAACACAATCATACAATACTAGGCATCATGACCCAGCCAAGTTGCTACACACATTTTTTGGGGGACACAATTCAATCCATGACAGAGGGTCTTCCTCTTTTTCACTGACCCTCTACTTTACCAAGCATGATGTCCTTCTCCAGGGACTGGTCCCTCCTGATAACATGTCCAAAATAAAGGAGACGAAGTCACACCATCCTTGCTTCTAAGGAGCATTCTAGCTGTACTTCTTCCAGGACAGATTTGTTCATTCTACTGGCAGTCCATGGTATATTCAATATTCTTCACCGACACCATAATTCAAATGCATTAATTCTTATAACCCTAAATCAAAAAAACAAAAGAACCAAACCCTTTGCCGTCGAGTCGATTTTGACTCATAGCGACCCTATAGGACAGAGTAGAACTGCCCCATAGAGTTTCCAAGGAGCGGCTGGTGGATTTGAACTGCCAACTTTTTGGTTAGCTGCTGTAGCTGTTAACCACTACACCACCAGGGTTTCCTCTATAACCCTATGCCTGGAAAAACAAAGGGAAGATGTTGCAATTCCTAAAACTTACAAACTTAGGATCCCTGCAGAGCTAAAACTCAGACCTCTAAGGAGGAGGCCACCAACTGCCTGATGCTGAGTCTCTGAGTTTGGAGGACGGACCCAGACCTCTGAGGAGGGGTCTGCCCAGCTACTGTTGGTGTCTGAACAAGACACTATGAAGCTAGTTATGCAATTGTTGGAAAAACTGCCAAGTGGATTCAGTTGCTGCTGTGGGAAGGAACTGCTGCTGCCAGGGTGAAGGAACATTGCTAAGGTGACCCTTAAAGGAACAGGAAGCAAGCAGGAAGGAGCGAGTCCCTTTTCTGCCTCTATCCTCACTGTCTTCCTCTAGTGGCCCCTATTAGCAGAGCCAAACGTAGAGCCAACTAACAAAGGCAAACTGTGATTTGCAGAGTCCCACTATCAGTATCTTATAGCAGAGAATAGAAAGGGGGGTTTGGAACAGAGAGACAATAACTTAATAACTGGTACAGGTGACTTTATAAAGTATTACAAAAAAGAGATGAGCTTATGTGAGAATTAGCTGGTTTCCAAGCAAAGGTAAAAGGGAAATAGAGACTTTGCAGGGTTGGAAATCTGGCTGCTTCTGAACAACAAATAGTACAAGTTAAGATGGAAAAATGTCTTGAACAATGAGTCCAAAGATGTGATAATTTGAGGCAAATATGAGGTTAAGAATGTGGCATTCCCACCTATTATTTCAGATGACTTCAAGGTAGCCACCACTGAGAGTAAGGCAAGGGGGTGAAAAGCAAATAAATACATCAGTTTGAGAATTCTATTTAGGAAAGAACTTGAGTGTTGTTACTGTCACATGGCTCTGACTAGAAGCAAAAAAAGCAGAAATTTGAGGTAACTCTATTGTCAAAGAAACTATGAGCTCAAACTAAAAAAGCCCTTGACTGGTTGAGACTTAAGATAACTTTTAGGCCCCCGTGCTTGTGCCTGCAGGAAACGGACTTTGAAAACTGAGCCTTCTCCAAGGAGGACATACTCCCCAGAGACCATCTCAGATGTGGCCATGAATGATAATCAACAAGGAAGAACTTCTCAGAGGGCACAGCCAGGAGCACAGAGAACAACAGGCAAAGGAGCCCGTCCTAGAGAGCAAAACCAGGGTCTACAGAAGAACTAGATGGTGCCCGGCTACCACCAATGACCACCCTGACAGGGAACACAACAGAGAGTCCCTGACAGAGCAGGAGAAAAGTGGGTGCAGAACTCAAATTCTAGTAAAAGGACCAGACTTAATGGTTTGACTGAGACTGGAGTGACCCTGGAAGACATGACCCCCGGACTTTCTGTTGACCCAAAATTAAAACCAATCCCGAGGCCAACTCTTCAGACAAAGATTAGACTGGACTATGAGACATAAAGTGATACTCATGAGGAGTGTGCTTCTTAGCTCAAGTAGATAACATGAGACTAAATGGGCAGCTCCTGTCCGGAGGCAAGATGGGAAGGCAGAGAGGGTCAGGAGCTGGCTGAATGGACATGGGAAATCTGGGGTGGAAAGGAAGAGTGTGCTGTCACAGTATAGGGAGAGCAACTAGGGTCACATAACAATGTGTGTATAAATTTTTGTATGAGAAACTGACTTGAATTGTAAACTTTCTCTTACAGCACAATTTAAAAAAAAATCAGGGTCTAAAAAAGTCCCTGCCCCTATCCCCAGGGAAGGGGTCTCTGACATGCTTGACCAGTGGGATTTCAAAACTGGTTTGGACTAATGACTGTTGTACACATTCTCGCCTTTTCTAAATGGGAGTTTGTATTGAGGTTATCCTATCCTTGCTCTACTGTTGTATATTGAGTGTGTCTTGGGGGTACAGATAACTTGTTTTTTTGGTTCATGGGTCACCATAAGGAACCATATCTGGAGCTGATTGAGTCTTTGAGCTGGATGTAGTAACCAGATGAGATTTGGGGTCCTCACCCTTGGGAAGTGTTGTTCTCTGTGAGAAGAGCAGAAAAAAAGGTATTTGGCTCAGAAAGGCAGACTGTCAAATGGAAGTATACTGTGACACACAAATATCTGTGTTCTCTTTCTGAACCCACAGTCAGACTTCGCTTCCCAGTAGGGTTGCTAGATTTAGCAAGTAAAAATACAGGATACCCAGTTAAATTTGAATTTCAGATAAAAATAATGAAAATTTCTTAGTATAAGTATGTTCTATGCAGTATCTGGGACAAAATTATACTGAAAAATTATTCACTGTTTATCCAGAATTCAAATTTAATTGCGCATTCCCTGAGACCAGAAGAACTAGATGGTGCCCGGCTACCACCAATGACCGCCCTGACAGGGAACACAACAGAGAGTCCCTGAGGGAGCAGGAGAAAAGTGGGTGCAGAACTCAAATTCTAGTAAAAAGACCAGACTTAATGGTATGACTAAGACTGGAGGAACCCCGGAAGACATGGCCCCTAGACACTCTGTTAGCCCAGAACTGAAACCATTCCCAAAGGCAACTCTTCAGACAAAGATAGACTGGACTATGGGACTTAAAATGAAACTCATGAAGACAGTGCTTCTTAGCTCAAGTAGATACATGAGACTAAATGGGCAGCTCCTGTCTGGAGGCGAGATAAGAAGGCAAAAAGGGACAGGAGCTGGTTGAATGGACACACGTAATCTGGGGTGGAAAGAAGTGTGCTGTCACATTATAGGGAGAGCACCTAGGGTCACATAGCAATGTGTGTATAAATTTTTGTACGAGAAACTGACTTGAACTGTGTCTTAGGCTGGTTTCTCTAGAGAAATAAAACCAGTAATGTGTATAAATATATATACATAGAGAGATTTATAACAAGGAAACAGCTCATGCAATTGTAGAGGCTAGAACGTCCCAAGTCCGTGGATCAGGGTAGAGGCCTCTCCCAAGTCACACAGCTGCAGAAGTTGGCAAGCCCAAGATCAGCAGGTTGGAGAGCAGGGCTCCCGCTCACAGGCTGTGCAGATTGACGAATCCCAGGTTCGGCAGATAAGCTGACAGCTCAAGTCCCAAGAACTGGAGATCAGACGACAGGAGGCAGCCACAGGATCCAGGGAGAGCAAAAAGCCAGAACGTCTGCTTATATTCAGATGCGGGCCACACTCTCAAGGAGACTCCCTTTCACTTGATTGGCTACTCAGAGTATATTCAATCATGGGAGTGATTACACTAAAACACTGAGAATCATGGCCCAGCCAAGTTGACACACAATCTTAACCATCACAAACTAAACTTTCACTTAAAGCACACACACAAAAAAAATTTAATTGGGCATTCTGTATTTTATCTGGCAACCCTACATCCCAGTCTCCCCTGTAGTTAGATGTGGTCATGTGACTGAGTTGTAGCCAATGGTTGTAAGTGAAAGTGATATACAATTCTTCCAGGCCTGGTCCCTAAAAACCTCTCTTAAAACAGAGGGCTCGGAGGACCTAGATGTGGGCAGAGTCACAAGATGAAAGAAGTCTGGGTCCCAAATGACTGGGTAGAATAGGTCTCCCTCCCCAAACCTGCACTAGACTATAATGTAAGCAAGAAACACACTTTTATTATTCAGTAACCGATTTTCTTTTTTATTGTGGTAAAAAAAAAAATATAACAGAATATTTGCTATTTCAACATTTTTTACTAGTACAATTTCAGTAACATTAATTATGGTCATCATGTTGTGCAACCATCACCACTATGCATTTCCAAATTTTTCCATCACCTTTAACAGAAACTTGGTGCCCCCTAAGCAATGACTCCTTCTTTCCACCTCCCTTCCACCCTGGTAACCACTAATAAACTTTGGTCTCTATACGTTTGCCTATTCTTAGATATTTCATATAGGTGAGATCATACTGTATTTGTCCTTTCGCAACTGACTTATTTCACTCAGCATGTTTTTAAGGTTCATCCATATTGTAGCATGTATCAGGACTTCACTTCTCTTTATGGCTGGGTAATATTTCATTGTATGTATATACCACATTTTGTTTATCCATTCATCTGTTAATGGACATTTAGGTTGTTTCCACTTTTGGCTATAGTGCGGCAATGAACATTGGTGTACAAGTATCTGTTTGCATTCCTGCTTTCAATTCTTTTGGATATACGCCTAGGAGTGGAATTGCTGGGTCATGTGGTAATGCTATGTTTAATTTTTTGAGAACTGTCAAACTTTTTCCACAGTGGCTGCAACATTTTACGTTCCCACCAGCAATGTACGACAAGGATCCATTCTCCACATCCTTGCCAATGACAGTTTTATTTTTTTCTAATCATAGGCATCCTAGCAGGGGTGAAGTGGTATCTCCTTGTGCCCTAATGACTATGACCTTAAGCATCTTTTCATGTGTCTGTTGGTCGTTTATATATCTTCTTTGGTGAAATGTCTATCCAAGTCCTTTGTCCATTTTTTGATTTTTTTTTTCTGTTTGTCTTTTTATTGCTAAGTTGTAGGATTTCTTTATATAGTCTGGATATTAAACTCTTATCTAATATATACAAAAGCAAACCAAACCCACCACTGTTGAACAGATTCCGACTCATAGCGACCCTATAGGACAGACTAGAACTGCCTCATAGGGTTTCCAAGGCTGTAAATCTTTATGGAAGCCAACTGCTGCATCTTTGTCTCAAAGAGCAGCTGGTGGGTTAGAACCGCCGACCTTTTGGTTAGTAGCCGAGAACTTTAACCGCTACGCCAGCAGGGCTCCTCTATCTGATATATAGTTCCCCCAAATCTTCTTCCAATCTGTAGGCTGTCTCTTCACTTTGTTGCTAAAGTCCTTTGATGCACAAAGTTTTTGATGAAGTCCAATTTATCTATTTTGTCTTTTGTTGCTAGTGCTTTTGGTGTTGTATCTAAGAATCCATTGTCAAAACTAGCCCCTGAAGCATTACCCCTGTTTTCTTCTAAGAGTTTTATGGTTTTAGTTCTTACATTTAGACCTTTGATCCATTTTAATTTCCATATATGGTGTGAGGTATTGGGTCCAGGTTTGTTCTTCACATGGAAATCCAGTTGTCCTAGCACCATTTATTAAACAGACTATTCTTCCCTCCATTGAATGGACATGGAATTTTCCCCCATTGTTGAAAATCAATTGACCATAGATGTATGAGTTTATTTCTGGATTCTCAACTCTATTTCACTTGTCTGTCTGTCTACTGTTATACCAATACTAGATTGTTTTGATTACTTTGTTCTTCAAGATTGCTTTGGCTATTTGGGGCCCCTATGGTTCCATATAAACTTAAGAACTGGCTTTTCCATTTCTGCAAAGATGGCTGTTGGAATTTTGATGGGGATCACACTGAATCTATAAATTGCTTTGGGTAGTACTCACATTCTAACAATGTTAAGTCTTTCAATCTATGAATACAGCATGTCCTTCCATTTATTTAGTTTAATTTCTTTCAGTAATATTTTACAGTTATCAGTGTACAAGTCTTTCACTTCCCTGGTTAAATTTATTCCTGGGTATTTCACTCTTTTAGATGCTATTGTAAATGGAATTGTTTCCTTAATTTCCTTTTAGAATGCTCATTGTGGATGTATACTAACCTAACTGATTTTTGTGTTGACCTTGTGCCCTGCCACTTTGCTGAATTTATTAGCTCTAATAGCATTCTTGTGAATTCTTCAGGGTTTTCTATATATAGGATTATGTCATCTGCAAAAAGATAATTTTATTTCTTCCTTCCTGATTTGGATACTTTTTATTGCCTAATTGCTCTAGTATATTACGACTTCCAATATAATATCCAATAACAGTGGTGAGAGTATCAGCCACTGAGTTTTGGGAGTTGTTTCTTACAGCAGTTAGCCTACCCTGAATATCTCTAATCCCTAAATTCAATAGCTTTTCTCAAAATTTCTCTAACCTTAGCAGCATATGACCCTGGAAACTCTTTCTTCTTGAAAGTCTCTCTTCCCCTAATGACACTATTTGTTTCTGGTTGTTTAATGATAATAATTTAAAAATACCTACCATTCATGAAGTTCTTACTATGACCCAGGCACTGTGCTAAATGCTTTATGTACAGTGTCTCACTGAACTCTGATAGCTACCCTATGTGGAAGTGATATCACCCCCATTTTTTCGATGAAAAAATAGGTTTAGAGAGGTTGAGTCACTTGCCCAAGATCTTACTGCCCCTTCCACTTCTCTTTCTACACTCTTGCTTTTGACAATCCCATCCAGTATCACGGCTGCTCTAATTACGGTATCTGTACATATGGCTCCCTGACCCCTCTCTATATCTCCAGTTCCGTATTTCCAAACAACTGGCATATGAATGTGCTGATGGCATTGTAAACTCAACATGTCCAAAATGCAACTATTCCTTTATTAGCACTGTTCTAAACACGTTTTATGTGGTAACTCATTTAATTCTCAAACAGCTCTATGAGGCAGATAACATTATCCACATCTATGAAATAGACAGTACTATTATCCACATTTTACAGATGAGTAAACTGAGGCTTAGCGAGTCAGTGTTTGGCTCAAATTTACACAGCTACTACACAATGGAGCAGGCTTAGGGCTCACTTCAAAGCCGAGATCTCAATGATAACAATCCAGTCCCCCTCAAACTAAGCTCTCCCTGCCCTGTTCCATTTCCTCACTCCCATCCTCATTCTCTGCCCTTACTTTTCAAATTCGACCTGTCCTTCAAAGTCCAGCTCAGAAGCCACTTCTCCATGAAGTCTTCCTAGGCAACCCAAGCTGGAAGAGAGCTCCACCTTGTATGAATTTATAGACTATTTGTAAATTGTTTTGTAATTCATAACTTTTTCTAAGTGCACAAGTAAAACTTTAATTCATTCTCATTATAAAAATTTCAAGTACAGAGGGATACAGAGCAAAAAGTATTCCCTCGCCCCCCAGCATTTATCACTTTCTACCTTAATATTCTTGTATATATGCTAGCCACTCTATTAGACAGATAAGTGAGGACAGAAATCATAGTTGAGTCACCTTTATTACCCTAAAATAGGCATTAATAAACAATTGCTGAATTAATCAATCAATTTCAAATCCCTTGAGCCTATGCACATTTCATTTTTGCATAAAGGTAAGAGGATCTGTTCAGGAAAAGAAGTGATTTTTTTCTCCAGGGGGACTGGTAAAACCATGTCAAACACTCCTTCTCCTCCCACCTTCCTTAAAGAACAAAAAAAACATCTAATTCTAGGTACACTAAGCGTCTGGTTTCTGTTTTAGCAGGGTCTCATAAGGAAATGACTTTTCTCTGAAATTGTAGACGCCCAACCCAGCTGTGGCATTGTTAGACCTCAGGGTAAACAGGAAGCTTCCTGCCTTGGGCCCTTCATGTCCCTCTCTCAGCCTATTAAAGACTGTAATAGGATGGTAAAAGGACAGCTGCTGGCCATAAAATTAGCCCATTCCTTAGATCCTCAGAGAACAGCAACTAGATCCTTCCAAAGTCAGAGAGAAAACTATGTCCTTCTTCAGGTCACACCAGGTGCTTCCACCTAGCTGCAGTGTTCAGTTATCTCCTCAATTATCAGCTGTAGCTATAATGGTCTTTGCAGAATACCAGAGTGATTCAGTTCCTTGGTATTAGTTGAAAAGATGAGATTCCCACTTATCAGGTTTCTGGTCCTTGGAATCACTTGCATCTGGAGGTGATGAGATCTAGTGTGAAGGTTCAGCTAAGACTACCAGAGCAGTGAAATCACACCCAACTCCATGTGCTTTGAGTCATCTCTTCCAGTAGGGGAACAATCAGTTCCTATTATCCCCCAAAAGAAGGCAAAGAAGAGAATCCATGAGAGCAAAGAACCTAGTGCTCCTACCTCAGCAGTAAAGAGCTGAAAAAGGCCCCAACTCTTCCCGCACACAGGGTGGAAGTCCCTGCATCTGCAGCTGTTAGTGAGGAGAGAAGAAACAGCTTCTGCCAACTGGAGGGACACTAGGGCAAAGGTGATCATGTTTTGCCAAGAAGGGCACTTGGGTGTCTTGGCAGAAGGCAGAGGGCTGCCCTGATCTGCGTGTACATTTTCAGAAGCATTTGACTCTGGACCAAATTCTCTCAGCTGTGCTAGTGCTGGGGCGATGGATGGGAAATGCTTGTTGGCCAGGCTGACCAGAAACTCCAACAGAGGGTGCTGGGGCTCAGCCAAGAGCTTCCCTTCAGCTGGCAAATTTAGCGGTCTGTCACGGTCAGAGGGAGCGTGTCAAAATTCCAATTCTCAGGGCTCTCTAAAAGCTGCTTATAATTACCTATCTATTTTGGAAGAGTTTCTGCTTGCTGTAATTTTTGACTCAAGTGGGGACTAAGAGTGGTGATAATACAGAGCCTAACTTACCTGGCTCAAGGAATGAACAAAAATAGCTCAGCAGGAGCCAATGATCTTACTAGCATTATAGTGATGGTCTCATAACTAAACGGAGACCAGGAAGCAGGACAGGTAACATTTCATTCAACCTTGGACTTACCTACAATTTACCAATTCATGCTGCTGCGCTGGCTCCTCTGACCTATGTCTACCATGCAAGCAAGCACTGGCACAGGAGAATGTCAGGAAAATCAAGCACAGCTTTAACCATTCAGTTCCCTGGCACAGGTTTACTTATGCAGGACAATAAGCCTTACATGCTAGGTGTCACTGCTTTCCGTCACTCAAAGAAAAGATCACTTGAGCTACTCTTCACAGTTGTATCTTCTAATTGCTGAAAGCAGGAGAGCTGGAGATATTTTATCCTAAAATCACATGTTCGAGCCTCTACATAAGTGCTTAGACTGGGATGATTCCGCTAAAAGGGTTCACTTCCCCAGTAGGAACAATACCATTTCTCCTAGATCCAGAAGAGGTAACTAGGGCTCTGAAAAATCACCCAAAGTCATACAACTGGTAAATAGGGTTTTACTGGGAGGACTAGAATCCAGGTCTCCTGCCTCTTTATGCACTGTTCTCCTTTCCTTGATTTTTATTTTTCCTGCAAAAATACTTTTTTCCAAGTAATTTGTATTATTTTTAAAAAGGTAATTCATTGCATGTATAGCTGTTGTTTAATTTTCATATATTTTTAAGATTTTTCCTATATATGAATTCACAAATCATTAAAAAATCATCAGAAAAGTGTCCCATTTAGGAAAGATGGCCTCACCGTACTACTACCACTACACTGAACAGCCTCCACCACCCTGTCCACAAAAGCCTTTGATGAAATGTACATTTAAGTAATTTAAATTTACACGTGAGTCAGTGGTAGGGTTAAGACTATCTCTGCTATGCTTCGTTGACTGGAAGACAAATCCAGGTGTACTTTAGACCTGGAAATAAGACATCTTCACTTATGGCAAAAACAGTTACTACTCTAAAATTCACCCCGGACAGGACCAGAGGGGCTCTCTAGTGGCTCACACTTCTCCTCTACCTAACCAACCTTCCGAGAGAGAGCAAGAAAGAGAGGCTTTAATGGACAGATAACCCCAGGGCACGCAGGCAGTCCCAACGTGTATTTGTACTTTCAGAGCCCTGGGTGAAGTCGGCTTCAAATCTGTCCCTTTAGACTCCAGGTCATGTCCAAGGCAGGAAGTTGCAATGCAGGAGTAGTCCCAGGAGCCAGTAAGTCAGGAAGTAGCCTAGAATGTATCGTGTGACTGGGGAACACGTTTTCCAGTTGTACAAAAGTTCCCTGATAGGATTTCTGGGGACCTTTTGTCCTGGTGGGGAGTCTCCTGCAAGAGGCTTCCAAGGCACAGTCTCTAGGGTCCTCAGCAATGGCTCTTGATTCTGAAGCAAGTGAGCTGGAAACCAGTACACAATAGGAGTGGAGGAGCACAAAAACCTGGTGAGAACCTGGAAATCAGAGGAGTGGGAAAGATCCACACATTTATTGGAATGACTCAAATTGGACCAGCTGAGGAGCTTCTCTGCTCCTGGTGATCTCTGGCCCCATAACATGAGCTTGGAAAAGAAACTCAGCAGAGCTTAGGATCTGCATTATAAAGGTGTGTGACACCAGCCAGGCAACCTCGATGTTACAAATAAACATAGCTACAGAGTAATTACAACAATAATGGGACAGTCAACACCAAAAACTCTATGTATGGTGTCCGATTTTAGCTCAGGGCCTGGACTCTAAACTCTGGGCTGTGATGTAGGGGTTGGGAACCTGGGGTGGTTCCCCATTCCACGGGGATGTCAGAGCAGAGGGTGGTTCACAATTCTCCCTCCAAGGACAATTCAGAGCTAGGTCTCCAAATGGCCTCCCTCATCTAACCTTCTGGAAGCTCTACACTGCGCTGGCACTCACTCTACTAGCTAATCCAGCTACAAACACAGAATGCTGTTTTCCATTTCCCCTGTGTCTCTTATCCACACAGCTCAAAGAACTTTACAAACAGTCCATGTGCACCTCCAAAAGGTAGAAACTGCTCAGGAGAGGTCAGCATAGGGGCAAAAAGACTTTCTTGGGGTTATATTGAAACTGAGGCCAGAGCCAGGAACAAAAAATCAGATGTGTGATCACACCCTTCCTATCCCTCTCTATCCCTACCACTCCAGACACGAGACAAGATAGCTCCTCTGAAAACTGGGCACTTGCCTCAAAGTACCTCAAGAAGCCAACATTCAAGTAGACATTCTGGATATAACTGTATATTAGGGGAAGGTCCCAGAGATATCCTGTCTGCTTTTTCCTGTATCTCAGTTGAATCAAGTCCATTTACAATCCTCATATCTTTGCACACACCCCTCCATTTGCCAAGAATGTTCTTTCTCTGCCTCTTATGTGGAAAATTCCTTTTTACTCTTCAGGACCCAGCTTAAACGTAATGCCTTCCTCAACTCCTCCAGTCAGTTAGCACTTCTTCCTCTGAGCTTCCACAGTACTTTATCTCAAAACAGTAACCCCTCTTCCATCCCACTGTACTATAATTTTATCTGTTAAATGTCTGTCTCACCATTTGTACCATGACACCCACTAGGGCAGCAATTCTATCCCCAGTGGTCTTGCCCAGGGTCTGTCATAAAGAAAGTCCCTAAATAGTCGCTGAATGAATAAATCAGGTATGGGTCACTCAAATGGGAGAAGTTAGCTATCTTCCCTGCTCACTGGCCAAGAAGTTTTGCCCATATTCACATCCTTATCCTAGTTAGGAATCCACCTCACCTGAACATGCATGCACAGACCTCCAAACAGCAGCAGCACTGCAGCGTGGACCAGGTACACAAACACCTGAGGACTGAGGAATCCAGGATCAGGTTTCTCTAGGGTCTTATTGTTCTTGTTCCTTTGCAGCCCAAGTGTAAGGCAGAGCCACGGGTGGGTGGTCACATATATCCAAGTCGCCCAGGCAACCAGTATTGCCACTGGTGCAGCCAGTAGAAAATTGGGCACCTGCCTGAGTTCATAGTATCTCAAAAACCCAACATTCCAGTAGACATCCTGGATATAGTTGTATATTAGGGGAAAGTTCCAGGAGCACCAAGGTGGCTCATTTCCATTTGCAATACGGTAGCCCTCATCCACAGCTAACTGCAGCAGAGGCTTAGGGATGGGCTGGGTTGGGCCTGGTAGACAGAACTGAGTGTAGGCATAATACTGAAAGAGGACAAAGGGAAGGCCAAGTGTGAGCATCGACAGGAACACAGAGGTCATCAGCTTAATGAGCTGCCTCAAGGGACTCTCCACCTTGAGAGAAGAGAAAAAGCCTTGGCACTGGGCATGCACAAGGAACCCAATGTTGACTAGCCCATTGGAACGTACACCAGTGGCAAGGGCAAAGAGTAGTCCACTAGTCCAGCTTCGGCTCCTCTCCAGCTGCCCCATGGCACTGAATGTCAGGAGGGCAAACAGAGCTTCTGAGTAACCAGCTGCCAGGAAGACATTGGCGGGACTAAAGCAGAAGAGCAGCGCTGCGTAGAAGGCCTGGTGGGGACTGTGCAAAACCAGACAGCCCAGGTCGTGAAGTGCCACTGCTGCCAACACGGAGAACAAGGAGTTGAGCAATGCTACTGAAATTAGCAAGCAACTCCGTAGGCTCAGTAACCCCCGCAGGGGTCTCAACAGCAGTTCAGTCCCCACCAGCAGGGCCAGGGGGAAACCAGGGAAGAAGGCAAAGTTGTGCTCATATAGGTAGCCATGCTCAGCAATGAACAGGAAGTGCTCAGCATCCCAGCGAGACAGGCCACCCAGAAGAACTTCCACAAGTTGGTCCACAGAGCCCGAGGGGGCCAGGCGAGGAGGGGAGAAGGCTTCTGCATGGTGATCTGGGATGATGGCATTGAACAGGGCCTGTACGGTGAGGGAGAACAGGATATTAGTTGAACAACTGGAAGAAAATAATCACTATTTAATAAAAAGAGGAAGAACAGACTTATTGGGAGAAATCAGGAGTTCAGTTTTAGACTAGTTAAGCTTGAGTTGGACATCCGAGTGCAAGAGGTAGACGAGGCAGTGAGATACATGAGTCTGTGGGTCAGAAGAGAGATCAAGGCTGGGGTTATAAATTTGGGGGTCATAAGTGTATAACCGAACTGAAACTGAACCGAAACCAAACTCGTTGCCGGCGAGTTGATTCAGACTCATAGCGACCCTGTAAGTGTATAGATGGTATTTAAATCTGTAAGACTAGATGAGACCACCTAGGGAGGAAGTACAGATAGAGCAAAGGAGAGGTCCGAGGACTGGGCCCTGGACACATCAACATTTAGAGGTTAGGAAGAGGGGGCGGATCCAGCCGTGAAGATAAAGAAGGAACAATCAGTGAGTTAGGAGGGAAACCAGCAGAGCAGGTGTCTCAGAATCAGTAAAGAAAGGGAGTGATCAGCTCTGCTAAATGCTGCTGATAAGTCAAGATGGGGACTGAAAAATGACCACTGGATTCAGCAATGTGGAGGTCATCGATGACTTTCACAAAAGCTATTTCAGTAGAGAGGAGAAAAGAGAAGCCTGTCTACAGTGGGTTCAATAGAAAATGGGAAAAGAGAAATTGAAGCTAGTGCATACAGACAACTATTTTGAAGAATTTTGCTATAAAGGGGAGCAGAAATATGGAGTAGTAGGTGTACAAGATGTAGAGGCAAAAGAAAGTTTGTTTTTTTAAGGTGGGATGTTTGCATGCCAATGGGAATAGTCCAGTGGAAAGAAAACTACTGAGGATGCAGGAGAGAGATAATCGCTGGAATAGGTGAAAGAATCTGATACACTGGTGGAGGAACTAGCCTTAGAGAGAAGGACAGTTCCAGGGTCAGATTATCCAACAGGCATGGTGCTTACCTTGCTTACTAGATCATCTGTAATGAACAATTTCACATTTTTTTCACCACATCAGAGATTCTGCTTCTAGGTATGGCTAGTATCTGTCTCTCTCCCAAACCCACAGCACCCTCCTACAGCATCAAAGCCTCTTTTCAAATTTACAATCCTTGACAGGGGTGGACGATCCAGTAAGCAAGGTAAGCACAGGCTGACTTGTGCTTACTTGCTAATCTGTAGTGAACAATTTCAGATCATCTGTCATGAAACCCATGTGAAATTGTTCACTACAGATGATCTAGTAAGCAAGGTAAGCACCATGCTTACTCTGCCTATTGGATAATCCGCCCCTGGACAGTTCATCCAACCTTCAGTAGTAAAGGCATAGAGGAGCAAATGTCAGTAGGCTGGTGGATGTCGTGAGAGCATGAAGAAGGTCTCTCTTTTTATTTTTTTTAAAATTTAAATTAAAAAAAAATTTTTTTTTGTTGTTGAGAATATACACAGCAAAACATACACCAATTAAACAGTTTCTACATGTACAATTCAGTGACACCGATTATATTCTTCAAGTTGTACAACCATTCTCACCCACCTTTTTTGAGTTGTTCTCCCATTAACATAAACTCATAATCTTTTGAGTTGCTGTTGTCAGTTTGAGCCTACATAGATAGTTCTTAAAAGAGCATAATGTTCAAGGCAGACATTTTTTACTAGTTTGGTTTTAAGAAGACTTCAAGGGATATTTTTGGTTTAAGGTTTAAAGATTATCTCAGGGCAATAGTTTCAGGGGTTCATCCAGCCTCCGTGGCTCCAGAAACTTTGGAGTCTGTGACAATTTGTAATTCTGTTCTATATTTTCCCCCTTTTGATCAAGATTCTCTATAAAATTTTTGATCAAAATGTTCAGTAACAGCAGCCAGGCACCATCCAGTTCTTCTGGTCTCATGGCAAAGGAGGCAGTTGTTCATGGAGGCAATTAGCCACACATTCCATTTCCTCCTCCTATTCCTGATTCTCCTTCTTCCTCTGTTGCTCCAGGCTATAGAGACCAATTGTTGTGCCATCCATTTGCAAGCTTTTAAGACCCTAGACACTATGCAATGAACTACGAGGTAGAAGAGAAGCACTAAACACATTATTAGGCCAATTAAACTGGGATGTCCCATGAAACCATGACCCTAAACCTCCAAACCGAGAAACCAAATCCCATGAGGTGTCTGGTTGTACATAAACAGCCTCAGCAGCAATTTTTTTTGGTGGGGAGGTAGTTGTTTTAAATATTTCTACCACAGAAGGTCTCTTCTGCTTGCTTTTATTTTTCTGAGTTTTCACTCAGAAAAAGAAGTTATCAGTTGAGAATGAGGATTGGGGAAAGGTGTTCAAGACTTCAGGCAAGAGGAGAACGTGTAAAAGAAGTCACCTGTGACTCTGGTTCTCAAAATAGGCTGCACACTGGAATCACCCAGGGAGTTTAAAAAAATACTGATACCTGGGTCCCTTTCCCAGAGCTGATGATTTAACTGGTAAGAGGTGCTAGTGAGCACCGGGAGTTTTAAAAGATCTCCAGGTGATTCTGATGTGCAGAAAAATTTGAGGTAATTAGGGAAGTGCACGAAGATTGCCAGGTAGCACTAAGGACTCTCCTGGGTTAATGATCTTGAGTAAAAGAGACTAGTTAGCACAGCTGTGTGTTTTTCTCTGTGCAGGCATGGAGTAGGCAGAGAACTGGATTTAGCCAAGGTTGGACTTTTGCCTTGCAAATAAGACATAGGGAGAGGGGAGCAAGAGACTCAAGTATGTCTGCATGGGAGTGATCATCATGATAGACGATGAGATCTAAGCTAGGTAAGGAGAGGAACTGAAGCCATGAGGCAGATGAGAGATAGTGAAATGGTGGTAGGATTAATGAATTATGGGTCCTGAGCGGGTGGGAGAATTGTTAGAATCGGGGTACTAGAGGGAGTGAGCTGGAAAGATAGGAGATGATGGAAAGAGAATGGAATGCTTAATCTTGAGATTACCTTGCAGAGGGTGGGGGTCTAGGGTATGACTATGAGCGTGGGGAGGACAAGATCATTAGAAGGGAGCTGGACAAGGAATTCAGAGACCCATAAGAAAGATGTAAAAAACCCAAAAGCCAAACCTGTTGCCGTCAAGTCAATTCAGACTCATAGTGATCCTATAGGACAGAGCAGAACTGCCCCATAGAGTTTCCAAGGAGTGGCTGGTGAATTCGAACTGCCTACCTTTTGGTCAGAGTCAATTCAATGGCAATGGGCTTGTTTTTTTTTTTTTTGGAGGGGGTTTATCTTTTGGTTAGCAGCCTGAGCTCTTAACCACTGTACCACCAAGGCTTCAGTAAGTAGGTGTTTAAAAAATTTTGGTGGTTGGGTGAACTGTCTAGGGGAAACATACTCATTCCAAAATCACCATCTGAATTAGAGCCCAGCTCTCCTGCTTCTCTATTCCAATTCGTAGTACTGTTCCTTTGGTTCTGCCAATAACCCAACTGATCCTGGTTCAGAGCCATCCTCGAGTCAGTTTTCCCAGTCTCACAACAGGAGCATAACCCCATTTTTAAGACTCTTTCTTTTTCGTTAGTTTCTTTATCACTTCAAACAGTCAAAACAAATGAGAGAGGAGTGATAGTCACTGATAATGGCCCTAGACTCCAAGTGGAAGACACTTCTAACTAAACCTGGGACCCAGCATAGCAGGCTCTGACCCATCATGGAGGGGGAGGAGAGAGGAAAGAAGGTTTCCACAAACGAATGAGATATGAGTCTTCGAAGAATAATAAAAGGCACACATAATTATGCAAAAATAATATCCCTAGGGTGTTGACATACGTTCAACAACATTCATTCACTTATGAACATACACTGAGGATCCACTAGGCACCAGGTACTGTGCTAGGCACTGAATATAATTCACATATACTGGTATTTGTATGCAAATAACACACACCTTCTGCGTTTGTTTGCTAGCTGTGCCCTCCCCCCATGAGGCACCCTCACAAGCGCCGCCATGCCAGTCCTCTTCCATATGTTCCTGTAAAAAAAAAATTAGCATAGCGCGCTTACGAAAATACCTCATGGGAGGGTGCAGCCAGCAAACAAACGCAGAAGGTGTGTGTTATCTGCATAAAAATACAGTACATGAAATTTGATCAAAATATGTATCAAGGGCAGCCTTGGAGGGGAAAGGAAGTTACAAAAAAGCAAACGCATCCTGAGAGTTGTGGGTTGAGTCAGCAAGGGAGAAATCCATGGGAAGAGTAGGTGACATTACTGATTAAATGAATATACACAGATGTTTCAGGACTTGGGCAGTGCCACCTCTCTCCCAGTCAACCGACAGGGAGCTTAGCCTCCTGGCAAGGGAACCCAGGGCAATGTTTTGAGCTGTCACACCCTGGGGTATCTCTGGTGACAGAACATCTGTCTTTTGGGAAGATTACTACTAGCTCAGTAGTTAGGAAACCTGGGGTCTAATTACGGCCCTTCTCTAACTTGCTATGTGATTTTGGAAAAGCATTTAACATTTCTGGGCCTCTGCTGCTTCATGTGTAAAATAAGGGATTAATAGATCATTTTTAAGATTCCTGCCTACTTTTCAGTTGTAAACTCTATGTCTCTGTGGTTCCAACCACATGGAGAGGTACAGGGTGTGTATTCACCTGAGAGATGGAAAGGCAATGGGGACCACTCTTGGTGCCAAGCCCAATCATGTAGCAGCGGAATGTGCAGGACAAAGGATCAGAGACTGACCTGTAGCACCAGAGTCAGGACCCGACAGCTGACCGCAAACCGTAGCACCTCTTTCCGGGATGGGTCCAGGGGCCACATCCTCTCACCACCAGGAATTCAGGAATGTTGCACCAGGACTGAGCTCCCTCAGGCTTCTAAACTCCAAAACCCAAGGAGGAAATGTCACACATGAGCCAAAAGCAAATTCTTGAAAGTTCTCTTCACACGAACGTCCCCCTTCAGCATTACTATGGCAAACTTAACCACCTAACTGCCCAGATGAAGGAAAAACATCTTGAAGGCAGACAAGACCATTTGGTATTCCTCTGAAGCACTGTATTCTTGTAGGAAGAGCTCCACGCAGAAAGGCATGAAGCTAGAAAGCTAAGCTTGCCGAAAGTCTTCAAAAGCTTGTTGAGTACTCTTATGCAGGAACTAAAGACCTGGGTTCAAGTCCTGGCTCTGTCACTTACAGTTATCATTTAGTCCCTCTAGACCTCAGTTCTTTATGTACAAAATGGGAGTAAGATGAGTAAGACTATTTGTTTTGCCTATTTCACAAACTTGTCGTGACGGTGAAATTAACTAAAGCATGAAAAACTACTACAAAAATCTATCATGTGGTTGTTATTATTTGGTGTGTGCCCTTTTCCTCTTGCCCAGAATAATAAACTAGGTCCCAAACCAGAGTCCCAAAAGTGGGGCACAGAACTGTACTGAAAGACCATAATGACTACACACTCCAGCTTAACTCTCTGATGTGTGCTCAGCTGGTCTGTTAAATTAAGTGGAGAAGGAAAAGAAAACCACCACTCAGCAGGACTTCAGTCAGCTCATATTGCTAAAACAAACTTAAGGCGAACACAGAGTCAACTACCAGAGACGGAGAAAACTGTTATTTCCCATCTCTTTATTGGAATGACAGCAATGTATAAACAACTGCAAAGCCATCCTGAGGCAAGGAATACACTTTAAGGCATTTTTTGCAATTCCTTGGGCTAAATAATGTAGCAATGGCTCCTACAGAACTTTCAAACACCAGCCTGGGAAATCAGAAAGGAGGACAAGAGCATCAGAGGCAGCTTGTCAATCTGGGGTGAAGAAAAGCTATCTCCAAAGAAAAAAAATATTTAAACTGAGAAACTAATAAGAAGGGCTGGAAAATTCTTCTTCTTTCTCTTGTCTGATTAATATCTTTCAAACCTTTCGGTATCACTTATTTCTGGAATTCTCTGATGCTCACTAGACTATGTGATATACTTCTATTATATGCTCCCATTGCACTCTGTATTGTCCTCTTTATTGATATTGCTTATTTGTTTGTTAGCCCCAATACACTGGAAGCTCTATGAGGACAGAGGCTTTGTCTATCTTGCTCACAAATGTATTCTCAGGGCCAAGCATCAAACAGGCACTTTAAGCCTGTGTTCTTTTTTAGTTTAATTTTTTCCCATACAAAAATTTATACATACATTGTGATGTGACTCTAAGTGCTCTCCCCATACTGTGACAGCACTCTCCTCCCTTCTACCACTGATTCTCCATGTCCATTCAACCAGCTCCTAACCCTCTCTGCCCTCCCATCTCACTTCCGGACAGAAGCTGCCCATTTAGTCTCTTGTATCTACTTGAGCTAAGAGGCACACTCGTCAGGAGTATCACTTTATGTCCCACAGTCCAGTCCAATCCCTGTCCGAAGAGTTGGCCTCGGAAATTGTTTTAGTTCTGGGCTGATAGAGAATCCAGGTAAGCCTGTGTTCTGAATGAGTGAAAGTGGTTAGAGTAAGATACAGCATTACCAGCTTACTGGCTCTGGATATAAAATCACTGCCCCAAGTATTCCTCCCACCATATCTCATGTTAATAGCAAGGCAACAAAGTCAGAGAAGCCACAGGAAAAGAAAACTTCCTCAGAAAGGGAGCAATGCAACAGTACTCTTTCCTCAGCACAAGGGGGCGCCCGCTGCTTACTCCATCACCAGGAGGCCTGGAGGAAGGGATGGGACATCAATTCCACCCTGGTTCCTCATGAAATTCAGTTCAAAGGCAAGCTTCTGAAAACCCCAGGGAGCAGCCTTAGTTTGTGAATCTACCCAACATCTCCAACATCTGACTTGCTGAATCGAGAGAAATCCTAGAAATATACACCGCCAACCTCACATGGCTGCTCCTTCTCTATCCTACAGTGAATTGTCTTTTTCCCTTCCTTGACTTCCCACCCACATGCAGAAGAGAAGTTGGGAACAGAAAGGCACCTAAAATCCACCTCTGCCTCTTCATCAGGCTTCCATTCTTCCTTTCCCCCTCCAGAGTCAAGCTTTAGCCTCAGCAACCACAGAAAACTTGTAGCCTACGCTTAAGATTACAGGTAAACCAAGTAAAAACAAAATGAAAGCAGTCAGTTCTTCCTCTCAACGAATTGCCAGCCTCACTTCCCACCAACCCCTTTGCCAAATCACAGACTTTTTAAACTGGCAGGACACCTGCAAATCAACTAGTTTCACCCTTTCATTCTCCTGTGAGGAAAACAGGCCCGAGAGGTGGGTAATAAAAATCTCCAGTTTTTGCAATTATTACGTCAGAGATCTCATTGGACCCAATGGACGTGGAAACCGAGCCTCACTGGGGTCAAGTGACACACCCAAGGCTACTCAGAGTGTCTGGGGGTCATGTTTTGCTTTTTTCTGCCCTGAAACCTCATGGTCTTCCCACCTGACCTTACCCCCGTCAAAGGATGTTTTTTCAGAGTCAGGAGTATACAACACAGGTCTCCTAATTCCTAACTCTGTTAAGTACTTCGTCCAGAGATACAGCATGCCCTTGCTGGATATGTTTAGGGCCGGGAAAGCCTGTGGATAGGGACCCTGGTTCCTCTGGGTAAGACCAGATCCTCGGTAGGGTGGGCAAGTCGCTGACCCAGCGTCCTCAGAGCTGGAGGCCTCGCGGGCCGTCTCGAGTCAGGGGCCGCCTTTGGCCAGCCCTGCCGGGCCCGAAGCTCGTTCTAACCTGCAGCTTTCGGACACAGACCCTACCGGGGATAGGGCATCTACCCTCACCCCCAAAGGCCATGGCCCAGAAGTTGCTCCAGACGGGTCCGGCGAAACCCCGCCAGGTGGTAGGGCCGGAAGGCGAGGGAGGGCGGGAGGCTGAAAAGGAAGAGGCGGCACCAAGAGGCCGCTATGGCAGTGGTGCGGGGTTCCTCGGTGGCCTCCGCCTCCCTTCCCCTGGCCTCCGTTTGACAACTTTCCTCCCCCAAGAGCGCCTGGGCTCCGAAGCTGGCGCCGGGTGCTCAGCGCCGGCCCGTCTCGACCTCCCAGGCGGGGCCCGACCCTCCGCACCTCCATCCGGGACCCTAGCAAACCGCGCCTGCGCACCGGCCTCATCGACGACCGTCCCGCCCCGCTCCTGCCCGGACTCGGAGCCGCCCCGCCTCCTCCCCGGCGGCCATGTTGACTCCGGGCGAGCGGGGCGGGGACGGCGTGGCTCGAGGACTCCGCGCCTCCCTCTTCCCGCCCCCCCCAACCCATGTCTCAGCACCTTCCCGCCTTGGTGACACCTGAAGAGTTCTCCCTCGCACTTCACCCTCCTCCAGTCCCGTTCCCCCATCTCAATTAGACCGCTAGAACTGCTGTCTCCAGAGTCTGTGCTCCTGCCCCAGTTCCATTGCAAACATTCAGAGTTCCCAATGAGTGCCGAGGTTCTTGTACCTGGGAGCTGCCCCGCGGCCTCTGCACAGAAGCCAGAGCTGCACTTTTCCTGCTGTCAGGCAACAACAGCTCATCACAGGGCCTGGCACAAAATAGGTGTTCCCTGAATGGAAAGAAAAGCTTTCTTGGGGTTTCTGTGGCCAGCAGCGGCACCCTGTGTCCTGCGTGTGAAGAATGTTGGGGATCCCCCTGATTTTCCCCTCCTCCGGCAGCCAGGAACCTTCTGTCCTTCAATCCTCAGCTCCACCTCAGGTTGCTAATGAGGATGGTGAAGGCAACCTCTGAGAACAACCCCCAGGACTCCTTTCTCCTTCCTCACTCAAGCAGTTTCTCTCATAGGAAGTGGGGCCAAAAAAGAAAAAAAGAAGCTAACTCAACAAAACCGGCTGTTAGGGAGGAGCGGCCAGTTGGTACCCCTGTAACGGAAACTGTTAGAACAACTTTGCACCCTCCTTAAAGGAAACAGATAATAAATCCCTCTCCGTTGGTGGATTTCTTGTTTCTCAGGATTCCAAAGCCTTCTGCGGTTTTAGTTATCTGTCCCCCAAACGAAACTGGGGTCTGTGTTAGCCTCTGGCCACAGCCCGGCCTGAGGGAGGGGTTTATCTTCTCCAACAGCTACTAATGTGGGTGGGAACAAAGAGGTGGTTGCTATCTGTCCAGGCGAAGAAGACTAGCCCACATCAACTCTGTGCTGCCCAGGGACTGTATCTTTTGATTCTTTTATAACTCATCACAGGCCCTGAGACCTAAGCTGCCCTCAGATATTTGTTGTGTGTAAGGTGGATAAAATACAAATCACATTTTAGTCGTTATGTGTTTGTTGCAGGAGAAGGGGAAAAAAAGCAGTTTATAATGCCCTTCCCCCAAGTGACACGCACTTGTTCTCAGCTCCAGTCCACAGTGAGCGAAACAGCAAAGTCGGGACACATTCATGACTGAGACCTAAGGTTCTGGCTTGAATCTTGAAGTCTGTGAGGCTCCAAGCAGCACTCTGTTTGCAAAGACAAAACTATGAAATGAACTGTCGTTGCTCTGAATTCACAAGAGAAAAACACATACGTTCTCAGAGTCCCCTCTGTAGACACCAAAAATTCCCCCAAAAATCTATTTGTTAAAAGGACAGGGGTCTCTTGTGATAAGTCAGAATGTTTTCTAAAAGCTCAGCTATATATAACCTGTTAGAAGTAGAACTTTGATCAGCTCTTCAGCTCTACTTTTCTGCCATTTCTCCTTCCTTTCCGTCTCTGTTAACCACCCCCCTCCTCTTCCACTCTGTTTCCTCTTTCATTTTCTAGCTCCTGCTCCGACAGGAAAACAGGGAAGCTGAACCTTGTGCTCTTAAAGCCCTGGCTTGTCAGATTGGAAAGAGGCTGGGTGGGATGGGAGGGGGTTCTGGGCCTCCAAAGCTGTGAGTGAGGAGTGGAGGAGGCAACTCTCTCTAATCTTTGCTTTTAGAGTCTGCAGCTAAAATGGAGCCTGTATCAACACAGGCAGCCCAGCTGAGCAACCAGAACTGCGAAGAGCAAGCTAGAGAGAGCTGTATCCCAGCTCTGGAAAGACTCTATACCTCCCAGCCACTTCCATTAAGAAGCAAATACCCCACACCACCAAGAAACAGTTTCATAATACAAACCCCTAACCCAAACAATGCAAGCAATGCATTACTGTTACTAGAATCTTAGACTGTATGGGGACTACAGCATTTCTGTTTCTTGTACTTGTCTGACTCTTGCTGTTTCCCTGCTTGAAACACTCTACTGCCAGGCCACCCATTGGCTAGCTGGCCCACTACATTTGGGTCTCAGTTGAAATGTTACCTCTTCCCAGAGGCCTTCCCTGACTACCCAGCCACCACCACCACCACCACGTACCATTTCATCACCCTGTTCTATTTCCTTCATAGCACTTAACATCAGCCGGTTATCTTGTCCGTGAATTTTACTCGTTTCATAGTCTGTTTCTCTCTTCTGGGATGTAAGCTCTAGGAGAGCAGGGACTTTGTTTACCCAAGTATTCCCAGCATTTAAAACAGTGTCTTGCACATTCTGTATACAAGATAAAGATCTGGTGAATGAATTCATTTGTTTAATCTGATACCTACATTTTATGGATGAGGGAGCTAAAACTCAGAGAGAGGGAAGTCGCTGAGGTCACACAGCTAATGGTAGAAGTGAGACTTGAAGTCAAGTCTCTAGCCTCCCAGACTGGTTCTTTCTACCACTCCAAACTATTCTAATCTCAGGTTTACCCCTTCCCCTCTCTCCCTTTTACCAAATGTCGAAGAGTATTTGTGGCCTATGCCAAGATTTCTATATAGGGCACACCAAGTCCAACAATGTTGGAGTGCCCACCATGTGCCAATGGGATAAGGATACAACACTGAGCAAGACAGACAGTCCTTGCCCTCATACAGATGATAATTATCTACCTCATAGGATTTATAGTGCTTGGCATAAAGTAAGTGCTCAATAAAGTGGGCTGTTATAATTCCCTGAACAAAGAAGAGGAGCTAGTGATTTTCCCACTGAAGGAGGGGAGAAGGGAGTTTGGTAGTTCTCACTCACCTTCCTGGAGCTCGCTGACAACTCGTTTCTCAGCATCTGTCTTGCCTTGCTCCTGACTCCACATCTGGAGGTGCCCTTGGCCCCAGGATGGGCAGAGAGACAGCCCAGTATATCTATTCTCAGTAGCTCAGTTACCAGACACTGCAATGTCTATGGTTCCAAACCTATGGAAATGGTGGAGTGGCTCACCCTGACCCGATGTTGGCTCTGTCGCCACACTATTATGGGGCGAAAGTGACCACACTGGCCTCTA